CACTCAGCAATTCATGGTTTTCCTGCCCCAGCTCTCACTGCTCCTTTCCTGGACTGCTCCTTGCAGCTCCAGGCCCCCTCCTTGTTCTGGGTGTAGCAAGTCCAACCCCTCCTCCCTCTACCCAGGGAATGGCTGCCCTTTCCAGCAGCCCTTCGACATTGCCAGCTTCTTGGTTTTATAGGCCCCACCTGTTCCTGCTCCACTAAGCCTCCTTGTTCTCAATTCCCTGCTCTCTGGCTCTCCCTCTGAATGCAGCATGTGGCTCAAACAGGCAGACCTGGCCACCTTAACCCCTTCCAATCCTGTGTGCAGTGGACACTCCCCCACTGAACCAACCTTAACTTGGGCAGCCCCCTGATTTCTGAGCACATACCCATCCCATCTCAGTCCTTTCTCCATCTAGTACCAAGATCACATAGACAGCTTTATGACTCAGCTACGGAAATCAGATTTACTGTTGTCATTATTTATCAGAAACAGCAGAGGATCCTGCCTTTGGATCTCAGAAGCCCGGATTTAGTCTCCACACCCAGCCTTAGTGATGGAAACATTATTGGGCACGATATGGGAAGCTGAAGTTCTGTGGAGTCCTGAAGCAGAGAGTGGCCTTTGTACAGTGGGGATGAGTACGTAACCCATGCTGAAACAGCATGGCTGTCTGTCCCCTCCTAGGGACTCCTGTGTGTTCCTAGGATAATAGCCTGCTAATGATTCTGAACCCGCCAAGTTGTCCCTTGTGCAACTATAGCCTGTGCTTTCAAATCTGGAAGTTCTAAATTCACTTCCCTCAAGGGACTTTGTTATACTTAGTAGCCATTTTGCATGAAATAAAATGAAATTGTCAGCAAATGTGAAGCTGGCATTTAAATGTGAAGTTAAATACTTCAAGCAATTATACGAATATTCAGCTCAATCTTTTGCATTCATTCAAACCACAAAATATGCCAAACATATACCCAGAAGTAAATCATTCTACCTGCATTGTGTTGCTGAGTTATTTATGCTTTTGGTTTTATAACATAAATCTAAGAGCTTTAGATTAGCAAATATTGAAAGGAATTTTAAATCATTAGTTTATCTATGAATGTCTTACAACCTACACACCCATATTGATTTAGTGCAAAATGGCTTGTGCAAACAGTTTTAGCCACAGACCAGACGTTTAGCTTTCATGTTCACTAATAGTATTGTGCCGTCACAGAGGATTTACTTATGAATTCTTAGTAACTGGACAATTCACGTTCTGACCCATTCACATTTTTTTATATTAATATAAAAGAGGGAATTAGTAAGGGTAGGTCTACACTTCAAGCTTCTTTAGGAATCAGCTATTCCAGAAAATATCTTCCTGAAAAGCTTATTTCAAAATACAGCATCCACACTACAGGGAAGACTCAAATTTAGTCTGAGGCAGGCTCTCCTAATGTGGACACACTTTCTCAATTTAGAGCCCTAGAAGGCAGTGGGGAAAATAACTTTAGAATGGCCCTAGTGAGGAACTATTTTGACATAGCAGCAGTGGAGTGTCCACACACACCCTCTTCCAAAAAAGCTTTTTCGGAAGAAGCATTATTCCTCATGGAATGAGGTTTACCAATGTCAGAAAAAGCCCTCTGTTATTTCAATTTTCTTTCAAAAGAACACAATTGTGATGTGGATGTTAGCATTCTTTTGCTAGAATAACGGCTGTTATTCCAAAAAAACGGTGCAGTGTAACTTCACCCAAAGATGCAAAATAATCCAAAAAACCTGACAATAATGGGAAGCTTCAATGACTCGCAGAGGGATGTCCAGACTCGCAAATGGCCAGAAGGACAGTTTAGACACACAATTTCTCAACATTTTAAAGGATTGCTTCTTAGATCAGTTAGGTTTAGAGCAGTGATTTTCAAGGTGGGCTGAAGGCCCATTTTGTCAAAGCCACTAACATGCCTGCACTTCTTTGTTTACATAAAGGGTCCTAGTCACAGAGTCTCACAGTTCCCATTGGCTCCAGTTCACCATTTCCAGTCGTCAATCAATGCAGAGTAACCCACAGTGAAAGGAAAATTTTAAATCAAGGCTACGTCTATACTACAAGACTCCTGCGTAAGAGCAAATGCAAATGGAGTGCTCATTTACATATATCATGTGTTTTTTGAAGAAGAACGACTCTTGCGCAAAAGGTGGGTTTTGCTCAAAACCCTTTTGTGCAAAAACCTCTTACACAAAAGAGAAAGGAAGAGGAAATGCAAATGAGAGTGTGACATATGCAAATGCTCTTCTGCAAGAGGCTTGTAGTATAGATGTAGCCCAAGTGAAGAAGGGGCTATGTTACCTTGGAAGTGTATGTTATGAAATGTCATAGCTTAAGAGTTTGTATGTGGAATTTTATGATGGATAATGACCAAAAAGGAATGTATGGCAGTGGCTGCAAAGACACACAGAGGAAGGGAATCCGGAATGGAAACTCCACCAAGGTGGATTGTTTGGAATTTGTGGGGGGTTAATATGAAGGTTACCAGGTGACCCTTGAAGATAGAGGAAGCAGAATCATGGGACGAGGGGAGCAGGAAGCTAGAAAATGATCAGGAAGAAAAGCTCTACCAGGCTTTTTTTCAAATTTGGTTTCCTATAGGAGTAAGTCCGGCTCTGCACTGAAAATTGATGTTAACCCAGTTGCATTGCTCAGGGGTCTGAGCAATCCATACCCCTGAGCGATGTCATTAAGCCACCCTAATCCCCAGTGTAGACAGGTGATGGAAGAATTCTTCTCCCGACCTAGCTATTGTCTCTGTTGGAGATGGATTTACTATGCCCTTTGGAGCTGTGCCACTCTGGCATTTCAAGTGTAAACCTGCCTCTGCGAAGCAGAAGTTTTATTGCCGGCTATTGTTAGGGCTATGTTATGTTTATTCTGGTTAATTAAAAACTTAAAGGGTCAAAGGTATAGGAGGGTATGAATGATCTATGAAGATTAGATGCTGATGTTCTTTTCTCAGTGTCTCTTAACACAAGCACGATGAGGTAATCAATGCATTTAAAAAGGTGACTGTTCTGAATTTGGGAATTTTGTTGGTGTTTTGCAGTAATACTGTATGTGCCTCAGTTTCCCTGCATGCTGCATGTTTACTGGGGTGCTGGCAGAGGGAGTTTGTTATAGAAGGGGACCTGGTGTGATCATACCTAGCAGCCAGGGTCCTAGACAATGGCCTAGAGATGGGGAACTCTACTGATGGGTGACCTGGTCACCAGGAGAGCTAACTCATCTTAGAAATCACCCGGATCTGGTGAATTGGATGACTAAGGGCTGAGGAGAGAGGACCCCAGTGACCTGGCAGCTAGTTCCAGCCAGTGGGAACAAAGGATGTAAGAGGAAGGGCCCAGGAAACTTGTTTAACTAGGATCAAAGACAAAGGACAGGGGGAGATGATACAGGATGACCTGCTAGAAGGAGGAGGCTTCTGAACTGGAGAGAGAAAGCAGCTGGGCTCCCCCTGGGTGCAGGAAAGAACTAGATGCATTGTGCTAAGCCTGGGAGCCCAGAGAGTATTCCCTCTGGAAGAGGATCCCACAGGCCCAGAGCGAGTGGCCTCCCTGTGGGGGCCACCACAAGCGACTTGTGTTTTGAAGGCTCAGGGATGTGGTTCCAGGAGGTTGGCTGAACCCCCAAGAAAGAGTGGAACCCTGAGAAGGGATGTTGCAATGACAAGGTTTCCTTCCAGGAATGGAGCTGGGACAAAGCCTGAGGCCCGTGAATCCATGACAGTGACTAATTGAAAAGTGATGAACCATAATAGTTTTTTGCAAAACAAACAATTAACTTTAGAACTCAGCGCGATGGGAAGAGATTGGGACCAACATCTCAGTGAGAGTAGGAAAGGGATTGGGCACTTCAAGGAGTGGGGAGATGTGGCTCTGGCCTGTGAGGGGGAACAGAAAGGAACCAGGACTTAGACTCCCCAAAGAGAAGGGAGACCTTCTCCACCCTTGCCAGAGCAGGAGGGGGCTCCCAGGAATTCAGGCAATTGGCCCCTTAGCTTACTACTGTCAGGCCAGTCTGAGCCTCCCCCCTGCAGGCCAAAACCCTGGGCCCCAGCCTGGAGTCCCTTCTAGTACCCCAAATCCCTCAGAACCCACCCCCACCACCGACAGAGTCCTCATCTACTCTCACCGCCCAACCCTGGAGCCCCTTCTGCATTCTGAAACCCTTATTGTTAGCCTCACCCTAGCCCCTTAGCTTACTACTGTCAGGCCAGTCTGAGCCTCCCCCCTGCAGGCCAAAACCCTGGGCCCCAGCCTGGAGTCCCTTCTAGTACCCCAAATCCCTCAGAACCCACCCCCACCACCGACAGAGTCCTCATCTACTCTCACCGCCCAACCCTGGAGCCCCTTCTGCATTCTGAAACCCTTATTGTTAGCCTCACCCTATATCCTGGGGAGATTCCGGGGGGGGGGGGGGGGCGTTGACATGAGT